ACTTGAATGAGTGCTCCCTGGGATGCTGACTTTGCAAGTGGTAGCTTCCCCACAGAGCTGGCCCCAGTCTTCTTGATGTTTCATATTCATGATTTGTTTAGGTTTTTTAGCTCCTCCTCACTAAGGGAGTTTTTTCCAGGACAGAAGTAGAAGTGTGCCCCTAATCAGTACAATAGCCCTTATCCACTCTGAGCACTCCTTTTCAGGTAATCAGATATTTTAAGGATAACTTTTAATTCTAGAAATAGTCAAATCTGTTAAGAAAATGTGATGACAGATTGCAAGAAGTACACTGTTAGGATTTGGATCATAGTAGGGGAATTTCCCATAAGTCTTATGTTAATGGGTTAAGGATGAACTTGATCCAGGTATGGCATTTGAAGGTGAGGCCCCTGGAAAGTGATTTTAAAAAGATCTATTTTTATTGGAAAGGCAGATTTATAGAGAGAAGGAGAAACAGAAAAAGGTCTTCCATCTATTGCTTCACTCCCTAAATGGGCCTCAAAAGCTAGAGCTGAGCCAGGAGCCTGGGACGTTTTCCAGGTTTTCCACATGGTTTCAGAGTCCCAAGGCTTTGGGTCATCCTCTTTAACTTTCCCAGGCCATTACCAAGGAGCTGGATGGGAAGTGGAGCAGCCAGGACAAGAACAGGTACCCAGGTGGCCTGCAGGTAGAGGATTAGCCAGTTGAGCCATTACTCTGGCCCAATGGGAAGTGATTTGATTAAATTGTCAGGGCGGGGCCCGGCACGGTGGCGCAAGTGGTTAAGGTCCTCACCTTGCACGCCCGGGATCCCATATGGGCGCCGGTTCTAATCCCAGCAGCCCCGCTTCCCTTCCAGCACCCCCGCTTCCCTTCCAGCACCCTGCCTGTGACCCGGGAAAGCAGTCAAGGACAGCCCAAGGCTTTGGGAACCTGCATCCGCGTGGGAGACCTGGAAGAGTCTCCTGGCTTCGGATAGGCATAGCATCGGCCATTGCGCTCACTTGGGGAGTGAATCATTGGACGGAAGATCTTCCTCTCTGTCTCTCCTCGCTGTATATCCGCCTTTCCAATAACAAAAATAATAAAAATAAATCTTAAAAAAAATTGTCAGGGTAGAAACCCATGATCAAATTGCAATGTTTTACTAAAAAAATTTAAACTTTTTAAAAGATTCTTTTTCAAAGTCAGAGTTATAGAGAGAAAGAGAGAGGTCTTCCATGTGCTGGTTCACTCCCTAAGTGATTGCAATGGCTGGAGCTGGGCTTGTCCAAAGCTGTGAGCAGGGCATTTTATGGGTCTCCCACATGCATGTAGGGGCCCAAAGTCTTGGCAGCTATCTTCCATTGCTTTTGCAGGCCAAAAACAGGGAGCTGAATGTGAAGTGAAGCAGTCAGGACTCAAACCGACTGCAGAACAGAGAATTAGCTTGACAAGCCACTGCACCATCCCTGAATTTTTTTTTTTTTTAATAACAAGGTCCAAGGTGGAGGGGAGAGTTCTCCAGTTCTCCTTGCTTCCTTCCTCCCCACGTGATCCTGACTCAGCACAAAGCCCCCCACCTCACAGATAAATATGGAGCTCCCCAGCTATGAGCCAAAACAAGGCTTCTTAGTTCACATATAGATTCTCTTAGCTTTTTTAAAATGTGGAAAATCTGCCCAATAACCCTTTAAGTAACAGGACTGAGGCTGCTGTTGTAGGGCACTTAAGATAAGCCACTAAAAATGTAAGCATCCCCTATTTAAGGTCACATCTGAGTCCTTTTTGCTGAACTCCCAAGCCACTTCCTGTTTTTAAACCCAGAAAGACAGTGGGGAATAAACTCCTGCCACTCCTGTGGGCAGTCAGAATGGAATTCCTGGCTCCTGGCTTGAACCCAGTCCAGCCCTGTACATCATGGCCGTTTGAGGAAAGAACCAACAGATGGAGGATCTGATTAAATTACTATGCATGAAACATGTATATCACATTAACCTAGAGATGGTTTGGAGTGAACAGGACGATGTGTATCAATTACATGCTGATAACACACCATTTACTATATAGGGGACCTAGTGTCTGAGCATTTTGATGTTTGAGAGGCTGCTATGGTTACTGAGGTCAGATTGTATTATATCTAATGTATTTGTTAAAAAGTCAGTCATCGGGCCCGGTCCGATAGCGTAGTGGGTAAAGTCCTCATCTTGCATGCGCCAGGATCCCATATGGGCACCAGTTCTAATCCCGGTGGCCCTGCTTCCTGTCCAGCTCCCTGCTTGTGGCCTGGGAAAGCAGTCTAAGATGGCCCAAAGCCTTGGGACCCTGCATCTGCGTGGGAGACCCAGATAAGCTCCTGGCTCCTGGCTTTGGATTGGCTCAGCTCCAGTCATTGCAGCCTTTTGGGGAGTGCACCATCGGATGGAAGATCTTCCTCTCTGTCTCTCCTCCTCTTTGAATATCTGCCTTTCCAAAAAAAAAAAAAATTTTTTTTTTAAATCTTAAAAAAAAAGTACATGCTCAGATACTTTTTAAAAGCCAGATTTTAAGAAAGTTGTATGTTCACAGCAAAACTGAACAGGAAAAATACAGACTGCCCATTTACCTCACGCACCCTCATGTCTGCGTGCCCTCTCCCACTGTGAACATCTCACAGCAGAGTGGTACATGGGTTAACTCCGTGAAGCCACACTGATACCCAAAGTCTGTGTTGCATGAGGGCTACCCTTGGTGTTGCATACTCGGTGACACTGCTTTAATGACATGTGTTCTATCACTATAGTATCCTGTGGAATAGTTTAACTACCTTAAAACATCACACATTCTGGCCTGTTCATCTCTCCTTCCCTCCTGGTCCCAGGCAAGCATTGCTCCTTTGTCTCCACCGCCTAGGAGTCTGATCCGCCCATGCGTGGCAGGGCCCCAAGCACTTGACTCCTCATCTGCTGCCTTTCAGAATGCATTAGCAGGAAACTGGTAGCAGGGATTCCAACAGGCACTCTGATATGGGAGGTAGGCGTTGCAAGTCGTGGCTTAACACGCTACGCCCCAGTGTCCACCCCAAGGAAGCAGATGCTGACATATGCTAAAGTGTGGAGAAACCTCAAAGACAGTAGACTTGGTTAAATAAGCAGACCTGGATGAACAGCTGCCACATGGTTCCACTTATTTGAGGTTATTAGAGTCATGAGATTGTTCTAGGGATGGAAAGTGGAATGGTAGCTGGCCAAGTCTAGGGAGGAGGAAATGGGGAGCTAGTGTTTGTGGGGGCAGTGTTTCAGTTGGGAAAAGGAACAAATCCTGGAGATGTGTGGTAGCAGTGGCGCACAATCATGTCAATGTACCTTTGGCTATATTTTATGTTCTGTGTGATTTTTAAAAATTATGATAAGAAACAATTTAAAAAGAAATAATTTGTGCATGTAGGGTGGGGGTATTGGCATTATGGTGTAGCATTTAAAGCCACTGCCTTTAGTACCAGCATCTGAGATAGGTGCTGGTTTGAGTTTCCGGTTGCTCCACTTCCAAGCCATCTTCCTGCTAATGTGCCTAGGAAAGCCATGGAGGACAGTACAATTGCTTGGGTCCCTACAAAACATGAGAGATCTAGATTAGGACTCTGGCTTAGGCCTTGCCCAGACCTGCACATTGAACCAGTTTTGGCAGTGAGCCAGTAGATGCCTTTCAAATGAATAAATACATCTTTTTTAAAAGAAGCAACTTACAGTACTATTTGATTTTTAAATAATACATATTTAAATTTTATGACAGAACTAATTTTTAGAAAGCTCTTGATGAATGCCAGAAAAGCATTCATTTGTATCACAAATTGAAGTGTGTGTCCACAGACTTTAAAACACAATTTGGGCCACACACATAGAGGAGGTTTTGCGTTTATTTATTTATTTGGCTAGTTAGTTTTATTTATTATGCAGTCTTCTTTGATAAGGACAGTTAAATTGTGTTGAAATAAGTGGAGTTTTATTGATCGTAAGTATTTTGTGAATACAGAAGTTATTTAAATTCTTACTGAAAAGTGTGCATTATGTACGTGTATAGATTTCAAAAATGTTTTGCATCAAAATAAACCTACCTTTTAATTCGATTTCCCGTGCAGTTTTGGAAGTAACCTCATACATTTCAGGGGAATTTGAGATATCAGTTTACTAAGTGTAACACATTAACTCTGTGAATAAATGAGAAGTTCATGCATTTTTAATAAGGATCTTATTATGAAGGAATTTCCCTTGCAAGGCCCTTGCTGTCCTCAGTGGCTATTCTGGTGCTTGACTGTACAGTCACTCTGAATGGTTTAGTGGAACTCACCTCTGAAATTTGTGTAGGGACTGGGCGGAACACAGCATGAATTAAAGATAGGTGCCAGTGCATGTTCCAGCTGCTCCACTTCTGTTCCAGCCCCCTAACAGCCTGGGAAAGCAGTGAAAGGTGACCCAAGTGCTTGGGCCCCTGCCACCCATATGGGAGACCTGGTAGAAGCTCCTGGCTTCTGGTTTTGGCCTGGCCCAGTCACAGCTGTTGCATCCACCTGGGGAATGATTCAGGCATTCCCTGTCTCTCTTCTTCTCTCCGTAACTCTGACTTCCAAATAAATATATAAATCTCTAATTAATAAGAAAGATACAGTACTAGGTCAGTGCTCTTATGTGCACAGCTGCTTTCTGGCTTGTGAACTGATTTCTGTAGTCACTCTCCTTAAGCTAGTCTGAATACCGAGAGTATGCATATTTGTTTCTTCATGGTTGTAAGCAAGAAAAGTCCAATGAGCTTGGCAGAAAGAAGTTCAACTAGTAAAGTACCATCTTAATTCAAGTCACTGTCCCGCCAATGTGCAGTGGAGAAGGCAGCTTTAAGAAGAAAATAACAACAAACAACAGCTTTGTATATCCTTGGCGACTTCCAGCCACCTTCCAGCCCATTAGTCATGCTATGTGGTTTTTCCAGGTTGTATTTACTTTTGAGAGTCTATCACATTAAAAGCAGTGGCTCATCTAAATTCTTCTCTTTTTTCGCAGTGCCAGATGAGGATGGAAGCACGACGCAAAAATCTTCTTATCTTGATTTTGCATTATTTAACACAAGAAGGGTATGTCACATGACAGTTATTCATAGAAATGACTCCTTTCTTTTTTTTTTTGAATGCCTAGGTGTGATTCTAGGCAAGTTATAATTGGGTTTGAAAGAATGGACCTAGGGAATTTTCTCTTGGGGGAAAAAAAAATACTAAGTTTAAGTGCTTTGTTAGAGGTGTGCTTAAATTTTTAAAGATTTATTTTTAATTTTTATTGGAAAAACAGATTTACAGAGAGAAGGCAAGAAAGAAGATCTTCCACCTGCTAGTTTACTCCCCAAATGGTGCAATGGCAGGAGCTGAGCCAATCCGAAGCCAGGAGCCAGGAGCCTTTTCTGGGTCTCCCACATGGGTGCAGTTTCCTAAGGCTTTGAGCCATTCATGTATGCTTTCTCAGGCCATAAGCAGGGAGCTGGATGGGAAGTGGAGCAGCTGGCATGCAAACTGGTGACCACATGAAATTCCAGTGTTTGGAAGCAGAGGATTATCCAATTGAACCATTGTGCTGGGCTCTGTGATTATTTTTAGTAGTTCTAATTTTGATATTTGTGATTACAAGTTTGACCACTCCCAGCTCTGCTTCCTGGTCCCTTTCCCCACCACTGCAGAGGGTGGTGAGAGTGGTAGTTCGACTGACCAGGCTTCTTCCACCCATGTGAGAGACCAGCACTGATTCTGGTTTCTGACTTCAGCTCCAACCAGCACTAGCTGTCGCAAGCATTTGGAAGGGAATCATGGGATGGAAGATTTTTCTTCCTCATTGTCTCTGTCTGTCTTTGTGCTTTTCAAAAAATAGTTTTGAAATTGGCCCTTTCATGTCACCTTGAATATCAGAATTTTGGATCTTTTTCACCATGATAAGTGTGATGCACTGTGACATGTTTAGCATCAAACATTTCCCACTCCATTTATAAAAGTACATGCTGGGCCTGGCGTGATAGTGTAGTGGTTAAAGTCCTCACCTTGCATGTGCCAGGATCCCATAGGGTTGCCGGTTCTAATCCCGGTGGCCCTGCTTCCCATCCAGCTCCTTGCTCGTGGCCTGGGAAAGCAGTCAAGGATGGCCCAAAGCCTTGGGACCCTGCATCTGCGTGGGAGACCTGGAAGAGCTCCTGGTTCCTGGCTTTGAATCGGCTCAACTTCAGCCGTTGCGGTCACTTGGGGAGTGCACCATCGGATGGAAGATCTTTCTCACTGTCCCTCCTCCTCTTTTCAGAAAAAAAATTTTAAATCTTAAAAAAAAAAAAAGTACATGCTCAGATACTTGCGTCCTTGCTGGGACAGTCCTGGATGTTGCAGGTATTTTGGGAGAGAACCAGCAGAAGGAAGATTTATTCTTACTCTCTCTTTCTCCCTCCCTCCTCTCCTGACTCCTGTTTCTCAAATATAAGTAAATGAATAAAAATTTAAAAATTAGTACCTGACAAAAAGTTGGCCAGGTGGATTTGGATTTTCTTTTTGTAGTACCGTGGGGGGGGGGGGGGGGGGGGGGGGGGGGGGGGGGGGGGGGGGGGGGGGGGGGGGGGGGGGGTGGGGGGGGGGGGGGGCTGGCTATCAACAGTGGGCGCGAGGAGCAGGGTCGAAGTGTAAAACATCTAGAATGATAAGTTGACTATTTTGCTGTGTCTTTTGATGTCTCACCTTCACCCAGAGAACCTTGAATTAGCCTCAGCCCAAACTGATTTCTGAGGTTTGGGAACAAACGTTCTGCAGAGTGTGAATAGGTGTTACTTTAATCCTGCAGTGATTAGAAAAGCTTGACAAACATTAGGTTACACTAAGGTAAACAGTAATCTATCTCAGAACTGCTCTAATTTACTACCACAATGAGAGAAGCTGTGCTGCGGTCACGGTATTCAGGGTTTTGCCCCTTCTGTCTCAAATTAGTTCTCCATGAATGCTTTTTGACTGCTGCCTGCATAAATTAGTTGTCATAATGTTCCAGTATGATGAGCATGGTATAAACAGATAACCAATAAATGTTATTTGAATAGCTATTGAGGAACTTACTAGGATGTAAAAGGGAAGGATACTCAGAAAGCAAGACAAACCCATGATTTAAAAAAAAATCAGTTGTATTTTTTTAATTTGAAAGGCAGATACACAGAGAGAAGGAGGCACAGACACATGATCTTCTATCTGCTGGTTCACTCTCCAAAGGGCCACAATGACCAGAGCTGAGATGATCAGAAACCAGGAACCAAGAGCTTCTTTCAGGTCTACCACATTGGTGCAGGGTCCCAAGGAATGGGCTACTCTCTTCTACTTTCTTATGTCATAGGCAGGGAGTTTGATGGGAAGTGGAGCAGCTGGGACATGAACCGGTGCTTGAATAGGATGTCAACATTGCAGGCAGAGGATTAGCTTGATATGTCATCACATCAGCTCCTTAATAATCTTTGATTTTTATTCCAGAGTATTTAAACTATGTAAATTGTGTTAGAAAGGAGAACACAGAAATAAATGAAAGCATCAGTGCTATCTCTCCTGCAGTCACTGATCCATGGCTGGGAGTTTCTGTTGCTTTGCAGGAAGCATGCATTTCCCCTTTTTGCCACAAGATGTCCTTTTGCATCTTGGATTAATGAAAATTCCACTAAAGTTGATCGTTTTCCTGAGATCTGCCAGGAAAGGCAGGTCTGAATGGATTATCAAGATGAATAGTGAACTATAGGTACTTTATTCTTTTAAAGTCTATTTATTTGAAAGGCATAGTGACAGAGCAACACTGGTTTTTCCATCCACTGGTTCAGTTTCCTATTGCCTGCAACAGTAGGGACTGGGCCAAGTCAAAGGAACTTCAACTGGGTCTCCCACATGAGTGCCAGTAACCCATATACTTGAGTCATCATCGGCTGTCTCCTAGACATTTTAGCGATAAGCTGTGTCAAAGTAGAGGTGGGACCTGATCTCACACATTCCAATGTGAGGCATCCATGTCCTAAGCAGTGGCATAGCCCACTGGTCCATAACTCCTGCCCATTGTAGGTATTTTATAGGTCATATCAGTGTTAAGCAAGAAACCTGCATAAGAATTCAGCAAACAGGATAGATCCTTATGGGTTGGAATAAGCAAGCAGAGAAAATTTTGCAGAGAAAATAACACGAGTTAGGCTTGAAAGATGTGATGGGGAACATTCCATGCAGACATGTGGCAAAAGAAAGGGCATGACAAATAGAATAAGGAAATCAACAGCAAGACCAGAAACTGAATGTGTGAGTAGAATTGGAGCAGACAATAAGGGGTCCTGGATGCCATATCTTCTAGTCCTACAGAATGAATTTGGGTGACCAGTGTGATGCTGTGTGCAGTCTTTCCTGCTTCTTGTCCATGATTACCCACCATTGCCTATGACTGCACGCTACTCTTGCTAAATCTATTGTTTAAGAACGTCACTGTAGTGGCTCTTTCTTCCAGTCACAGCTGATTTAGTTCTCCCCCTGCCCCAAAGCTGTAAGAAATGTGGTAGCAACACACAGGAGAAGTCTGCACCCTAATCAGTTAGCTTAAGCAATACAGGGCTTGCAGTCCTTTGTTTGAATCGTCAAGGCAAATTTCTGGATCCTGGAAAGTACTCATCTGTATTTCTTGGTCTTTTTTTTTTAAGATTTATTTTATTTTTATTGGAAATTCAGATACATTGAGAAGAGGAGAGACAGAGAGGAAGATCTTCCATGCGTTGATTCACTCCCCAAGTGGTCACAATGGCCAGAGACTCTTCCGGGTCTCCCAGGCGAGCACGGGGTCCCAAGGCTTTGAGCTGTCCTCAACTGCCTTCCCAGGCCACAAGCAGGGAGCTGGATGGGAAGCGCAGCTGCCGGGATTAGAATGGGTGCCCATGTGGAATCCTGGTGTGCGCAAGGTGAGGACTTCAACCACTAAGCTACTGTGCTGGACCCTCTAGTCATTTTTTTTTCTTTTTTAAGAATTATTTTTATTGGAAAGTATATTAGAAGGAGAGATGAAGATCTTCATCTGCTGGTTCATTCCCCAAATGGCTGCAATAGCTAGAGCTAAGATAATCCAAAGTTAGGAGCCAGGAGCCTTTCATGTCTTCTACATAGGCACAGAAATGAAGGCGTTGAACCATCCTCTACTGCTTTCCCAGAACACAATCAGGGAGCTGGATGGAAGAGGAGAAGCCAGGACACAAACCAGCATCCATATGGGATTCTGGAATCAGGAACAGGGCCAGGAGTCAAGCATAGTCACGCCCATATGAGACACGAGCATCCCAAGTGATGCCTTAGCAGCTGTTTTAAATGCTTGTGCCTCAATCTGGCTTTGGAATTTCCTCTCCACTCAGGAGACACACTTTGGAATTGTCTTAGTGATGGTAATCCTACTCTGGAGTTGAAATGGTGTAATAATTATCAAATGTTACTAAAAAAAAAATTGGTGAATAAAGAAGCAATTAAGTTATATAAATAACTAATGGGGGTGTGTTCAGGTCCTGCCTGCTCCACTTCTGATCCAGCTCCCTGCTAATGCACCTGGGAAAGCAAATGAACAATAACTGGGCCCCTGCCACCCATGTGGGAGGCCTGGAAGGAATTCTCAGCTCCTGGCGTTGGTCAGGCCCCACTCCTGGCTGTCATGGCTGTTTGAGGAATGAACCAGCAGATGGAATATCTCTCTCACTATAACTCTGACTTTCAAAATAAATTTTAAATCTTCTAAAAAACTAAAGAAATAACAATTCTTGGCTAAAATTAGCAAAGATAAATCACAAAGAATTTTTGAAATGGTTGATTTTATTTGACAAGTCATTAAGGCCCAAAATGTTTTGAATGCTGGTGACATCATTAGAATGAGTATGTAGCTTTTAGAGACAGCTGTTTTTGAAGGACAATCTGTGGATGTAGTCTAGTTTTTATTTGACATATTCTTCCATATAGACATCGTGTTCTGATAGGGTCAGTGGGAATTGTAACTCTTATTTACCTTTACTTTTCCATCTGCAGTTATCTTTTTTTTTTTTCCTTCCTTTCCTGGAACTGGCAGGTATATTGATACAGCAGACACTTTGGAGCAAGAAACTAACCTTGGCTTACAGCACTTTGAAGTGTGTGACAACATTGACCTTGAAACCATCCTGATGGAATACGAGAGCTATTATTTTGTAAAATTCCAGAAATACCCCAAAATTGTGAAAAAAGCTTCAGACACAGGTACATGGTGCTTTTCTGGACAGAAAGCCTCATCTCACCTTTCAGAGCAGTTTCCTCCTCATCTCATTCCCAGATAGATGGCAAACTTATCTCTGCACGGAAAGAGCAAGCCAGAAAGTACATGTCACCTGTTTTAGATCCACATGATCATCTCTCTATTGATGTCCCTCTAGTCAGACTGACAGTTGTCTAAGGAATGTATCTTTTAGGGCAATGAAACCAACGTCTACGGTGGCACAGTTACGTGTTAGAAAGCCAACATTAGTTTCTCCCAAGATGGAGGGAGCTTTTGGCAGAGCATGCAAGATTGTTTTGTTCGGGAAGACCTATTATCTATGTTGAAAAATCATATGAAAATGCATATTGGTAAAGCTAATAGCTCATGTATAGATAATGAAATGCTTTTGAAAGCCATCCGTCCAGATAATGATCAATATAACGCAAGGACCCAGGATAGGTTAGCAGTCAAGGAAGCTGGCAGGAGGAAAGATGTAAAGCGAGGCCCAAGTTTTGTTGTAACGCGGGCTTAGAAATCTGTAAGTGGGGGAAGTAATTATAAACCAAGGGATATCATTGTCCTGTTTGCAAGGCACTTGTTAAGCCACAGATGTTAACATTTCATGTAGGGACCAGGAAACCAAGAGGAACATCAGTTAAAAATAGCCAGGGCTGATGGGGTCTGAGAGGTGCTTTAGCTGGGTTGCTGGGGTGAGCATGTGGCTTCAATGACTGGTTGATGTTACATCTGAAGCTTGAGAGAAAACATTGACTTCTAACCACAGAGCTACCAATGCTATTATTGACATGGTCTGATTTCCAGAATGCCAGTTAGTGTCTAGTTGGTGCCCACAGTCTCTTGTGATATTGGGTACACTCTCTCTATATTTTAAGGTAAACTGGAAGAACGCAAGTGGTAAGTGTTCTCTGCTGGCCGCAGGCAATCGTCCTGATCTCCTACATCCTCCCACTAGATAGTGTCAGGTTCATGAAAATGTTACAAAACAGTGGCCATGAAGCTAACCCATGTTGGAGTTGCCACCAGAATCATGATCTCCTGCACAGGCAATATCTGATGCCTTTGGGGGGATTTTTCTGGGGGGAGATGTTTAGGAAGCCCAGCCCTTTCTCTTCTTTGGTAATTTCCACCTCTCTTTAGACAAAAATAGCTTTCAGCTTTAGGATTCCAAAAGACTACCAGACAAACTTCAAGAATAATGTAAAAGTATATATAGTATATTTATATATATGTGTGTGTGTGTGTGTGTATGAAAAAAATCTTCTCTCAAACTCGTTTTTTTTTTTCCTCCCAATTTTGCAATATCAGAAAATAATTTACCACCGAGAAGTAGCGGGAAGACCAGAAGGTAAAATGCATGTTATTCATCTTGCTAACCTCAACTTCAGGAGTTTGTGGGATCCCTTTCTTGAAGGTTCTCCAGTACAGCTCCATCACTTTATCTACCAGTAATCCCAGATTGGTCATGTGAACTTGACTATGTAATCCCAGGCTGGTCCTGTGACTCTGAAGGGCCCTCCTAATGGAACTGCCTAGAATATCAGCAGTGCCTGTCTTGGGTTTAAATTTATTTTTAATTTTTGCCTACTTATTTGAAAGGCAAAAAGAAAAAAAAAAAGAAAGGCAGAGAGACAAAAAGAGGGACATAGGGAAAGAAATAGAGACATAAACAGATTTTCAATTTGACTGGTTAACATCTACAATGACAGGGCTGAGCCAGGATAAAGTCAAGATCCAGGAACTCAATCAGGGTCTCTCATATTGGTGGCAGGGACCCAGGGACCTGAGCTGTCACTCACTGCCTCCCTGGTTGTACACAAACAGGAAGCTGGAATTGGAAGTAGAGCCAGCCCTGAGCCCGGGTACCTTCATCTGGGTGTCAAGTGTTCCAAATGGCATCTCAACCACTATACCAAATATCTCCTGCTCTGTCCCAATTTTACTACAGACAATTGTACGTTGTGACTCTCTCTTTCCTCTATGTATAGAAAGCCTGGACTTCAGTCAGGAACCCAAATTCAATTCCTGGCTCTGCTACTGAGAAGCATTGAGTAAATTTTAGACACATAGTGAGTTCCTAGCACGTAGCGAGCACCCTAAATGTGGCCTTCTCCCTTTCTCACTCTCTGTGATTTGTGCACTCCCTGATCATGAGTCCTGACCTGCCAGAAGATGATAAGGCAGGGAGGCACAGCCCACATGCTGCCATCGCCAACACTGGCCTTTGGTTCTCTTGCTTGACCTTCCTTCTCTCATGTTCCTCTTCTATTTCTTTCTCCACTTTCTCACATCTACATCTTATTTGGAACTCTTATCATTGAACAGGAGCTGCTCTGTGTCTTGATTACCCTGAGGACACACATTCTCCCCTTCTGGCCTTGGTGAACTCTCTGTTTTGCTTTTCACATGCCCAGCCAACTGGCCATTGTCACAGCCTGTTGGGAAACATGCAGCAATTCCAGGAGCGGGCCAGCTTGCGGACTGCAGGGCCTGTGAATTTTTGCTATCATAATAAATCCTAAATTTCAGGAGAAGGAGAAAGTGGATGACTGGAGAGGCCACGCAGAAATGGAGGCAATGAATAAAATTTTAAAATACCTTCTACTGTGATTTAAAAAACAAAAAAGGTCATGGTCACACAACTTACTAGGTCCATTACCAGGTCCTTTATGGAATGAATTATATGTGTCACCTCTAAGTTCCCTGCTCTTGTGAATTCAACCTAAGAAGGAAGGGATGAAGACATCTCATCGGGCTGCCAGGTGGTGCATGTAAAAAATAATCATGGAGCCTAGGCATTCCTGAGGATAAAGCACATGAAAATATTCTACCTAAGGCAGCCACTGCTGTGGGTTGTTCTTTAGGAATGATTTGATTGTTTTTGGACAAAAGTGTTATTCCTTCATGTACAGTGTCCATAAAGCTGGGCAGAGTTGAGTAATAAATGACAACTTCCTGTGAATAGAAACAGTGAGGAACATTTCAAGAGGCCAGCCTCAGAACATTCTTTGCTGGAGCATCCTCGGTGTTCTGCACCTGGCAGGCATCTGGTAAACAGAGGGTGTCAGGGTGTTTGATCTCCCCTTAGGGGTGGCACCCTGTGGCATGTTTGGCAGCTTGAGATCTCTTCAGCACTCCTCTAGAGGTGTTTGTACCTGGCAGGCGTACATGTAGAAAAGCAAGTGGCTGCAGGTTGATGTAGAAGTAATGAATGGTGTTTCTATGCACCTTTATAATCAAGGATAGTCATTGAAATGGGAGGTTGTGCCATGAGACTGGCCGTTAGCCAGTCTGAGTGTCTGTATCTAATCTTGTCTCCCATCCCAGAGAGCGTGCTCCCTGTTTACAGATCTGCTGATGGCCCAAGGGAGGAAAAGCCACCTGGTGTGATGGATGACAGAATTAGGATCATGAAAGTTCTTGACAGTATGGAAGATGGGACCAACATTGTAAGATGAAATTATAGGGGTTACATTCAAAGGAAAGATACCCAACACCCCTTTCTTCAACTCCATTACAAAGTAAGAAGTCTGAGTTAACTACAGGTGGACAGCTTAGCCAGCAGTGTGGTGTGATTGCTGCTGCTGTGATCTCAGGCCTCATCAACAGAGACACAGTCTCTAAAAAGGAGGAGGCTGTTCTCTTCTGCTAAGCAGATGGTGGACAAAGAGAAGGTAACTGAGAAGAGGAAGGAGTGGGGAGCCAGGCTGCTTTCAGGAATGACTGGAGCTATTGCAGATAGTCTGAACAGAGGACTTGGGGGTCTTCATCCTCAGAAGAGGAATCAATGAGTTTCTGCAGAATTCTGCTGGGCACCTAGGATTTGCTTCCTTGTTCAGAAGAATTTCACAATCCTTAGAGCTATCTGAACACCGGTTGTGTTGCATTTCAAGGCCCTTGATTTTGGTCATGTGAAAGCAAATCTTGTAGATCAGTTGCTTCCAATGAGAAATCAAGGTGAGCAAAAAGAGTCGCAGTTTCTTGCCAGTTCCTCCAAGATTTTGAGGCAAATTTAACCCAAAAGACTTGTGTATAAAATATATTATTATATTGTATATGTGACATATATTTTATACACACATATATATGAAAGCTCTGCAAAAGTTCATGGAAAATAAAATTCAAAGAAATTTATTTTGGTGGGTACAAAAAAATTGAAATCCATGTATGTATGTGAGGGGGTGTTAAAAAATTTAACAGCACCAAAATAAGCTTATCTTTCAATTTCATTTTCACAAACTTTCTCAAGGACTCTTCCGTATGTAATGTCACTTTATTTAATCAGCACTATTAATAAGGATTTGTGTTTGTAAAATGCTTTGTATCCATGTCATAGATATTTTGTTTTTGTGCTGACAAGAGGCCTAAGGGACAGTTTTCTGAGTTCAGAGGTGGAAGAATTCCTGGGCAACTGTCATTGCCCACCTTTCATGACTTTCAGCCCAGTGGGCCCAACCCTGGGGTCCTGTGTGGACACTGGTGGTACTGTTGACAGGGGTGGTCTTACTGGCCAATCAGCTGTATGCTTACATTACACGAGAGCAGCTTGTTCTTTTCAATCAGGAGTCATTATGAGGACATAAATCTGCCTTTAAAAATTATCCCATCTTGATTGGACCTTCTCAGTTGTTGATGCCTGTATAGTGGACAGCATGTCCAAATGCTCACTTCGGGGAATGATGGCCAGCTCATCTAGGCCAGCAGGGGATGTCAACTACCTCTTTAGAAAACGGAAAGCATAACAGGTTGGACAGTTCACCTTTGCAGCATGTTTTGGAGTCTGGATGCACTAAAGTGGATTCTGTCAACCAATGGACCTTGGAAGGTTTTACTCAACCCTGGAGCAACAAAACCAACGACTTTCCAGAAGCATCAAGGACACTCAGAGCATTCTTCCCCACATCCGAATCTCTAAGGCATCATCAAACAACTGTCCTATCCCCCTTTCTGGGTGCTCATGTAGCTTGACAGCATGGAGTGGCCCCTCCTCCTTCTCTCTTATGGACACAGGAGAAAAAACATCTGAAATATTTTTCCCGCTGACCTTCCTCCATTAGTGAGGAAGGTCACCTTAATCAGAGGCCCACATGGCCCACATGGCTGTGCATTGATCTCAGTTATATAAACAATAAAAGAAAGAAAAATTTTAAAAAATTTAAATCCTATCTTCACTGGAGTTAGCCACCATTCTGACTGGCAGCCCAATCAGTTTGTTTTGTTCAAAGTATTTGACTAAAATTTGTTTCCAAATATGAATGATCAGTGACAGTAGAGATTGGTTTTAGTTTGCTTTTCTTCCACAAGTTCCTTTTGATGCCCACTGCACACAACATGCAGAGAACTATTTTGAGGCTGGGTATATCCAGGGCATTGCATTAAAACCATAGTCAAAGGGCTCGCATTGTGGTACAGCGGGTAAGGCCACTACCTGTGATGTTGACATCCCATATGGATACTGGCTCAAGTCCTAGCTGCTCCACTCCAATCCAGCTCCTTGATAATGTGTCTGGGAAGAGAAGCTTGGGTCCCTGCACCCACAAGGGAGGTCTGGTAAAAATTCCTGTCTCTCAGCTTTGGCCTTGCTCAGCTCTGGTCATTGCAGTCATCTGGGAAATGAACCAATGAATGGAAGAGATTCTCTCTCTCTCTCTCTCTCTCTCTCTCTCTCTCTCTCTCTTTCTCTTTTTTGCCTCCCCACCCCAACCTATAATTCTGACTTTCAAATAAATCAGTCTTTTTATTTTTCCTTTAAAGACTTTAGATCCCTAGACTTCTCTAACATTTCTTAAGTTGAGGATTTCCTTAGACTTGCAGGAACCTATTGAGTGCCCTGATGGGATCAGGACAGGGAGTGACAAGGTGGACGGGTGGAGGGCCGGATGGATCAGTCACAATGTTCACACCTACATGTCTTTCAAGGACATCTGTAAGTCGGCTCCTGGCTGTTTGCTTGTCTTGGGTTCAGTGGTTGGAAGAAGTTCCTGAAAGTCTTTGTTCCCTTGCTCAGGATGACAAGCACCAGCTGTCAAAACCTCCCCAACATCAACCAGCCAAGGCCACGCTCCAAAATCTCAGTGGGGAAGATGGGGGACATGAAATCTCTCAACAAGGAGCGTCCTAAACAGGTCAGGATGGCTTTTCTGGACTGTGGGGCTCTCATTCTTGGCTTAAAAATAACCCCAGGTGGGAAAATAGCCATATTGTTTTACCTTGTGAGACTGTGGGTTTTTTAATTGCCTTGGGGTCTAGTTAAACTTTAGATTTGTTTAATACTCGATTAAAGTCACAGACAATCCCTCCAGTTTTCTTAATGTTTTGGTGTCTCAGAGCAATAGGCTTTTCTCCCTGCTCCAATCCCCCTCCTGTGACTGCTGGGTGAGGACCCAGACGAGGAAGCCCATCCCTCACTCCGAGCAGCCAAGTCTGGTCCTGGCAGGGCTCTGGCCTCCCGTCCGAGGTCTCCACAAGCAGCAGATAAGTTTGACTGGGTGCCTCCATTGTCAGCCAGGGGTGACTTCTAGTGTGCCTGGAGCTCCAGTTCCCCTGGTGCACTTCTCCAACACACATAGCTAACCCTCCCCCGAGACCTCCACATGCCACTGTCACAGAGAAGACACAAGGCGGCAAAAGAAGAGAGCCTTTCAAGTGGGTGACATCCAAGCATTGGTGTTCTGTTGTCCACACTGTCTCACTTAGGCTGAAACATTCCTGGCCTTAAAGGCACAAGCAGCGATGGAACCTGAGAAAATGAAAAATAGTCATCAAAGACTCCTAGGGTATACAATGGCTTAATCGTTCCACTCAACAGGTCAAAAAGAATCCCTCACTCTAATGAGGGTTTGTGATTCTGGCCATTGCAGGCTACCTCAAATGGGAAGAAAGTGGTGATGGAGCTGGTGAGTGCCAGAGCTGGCTGCTTGATGGATGCATTTCCTTACTCACCAGGCCACTAACACTGCTGGCCACAGCGACAAAGAGAAGCCAGAAAGTGGGCATGGGTGCAGTGCCCATCGGAAGAGCTGCCCAGAGCCCATGGCCTGGTGTCTTTTCTGCCTCTCCCAAAAACTGTGCCTTCCACATGGCATTGGTGGGGAGGTTGTTCATCTTGTTGGGTCTGCACAGATGTGGGTCTTTCCATTTGCTGGGTTGGTACTTTCCATGTGATTTTGCCCGAGGCAGTTGGCAGTAGCAGCCAGCATCTGTTCTGTCCATTGTTTTCCACCTCACACTTCCCATTTTTTTTTCTGTTTTTGTTTTGTCTTTGTTTTTTTTTCCTTTCTGCAGGAAGGTGTCATTAACATGGAGAATGCTGACTTTGGCCTGAAAGTGTCAAGAATCAACAAAGACAGTGGAGAGGAAACCGTGCACCCACGGAGAGTAAGTGGAACTCAGGAAGCTGATTCCAAAAAAGGAATTCCCTTGCCTTTCATAATTGAAAATTCAAAGCATTGCTTTTTGTCAAATGAGAAAGTGAAAATGTGACAAGAAAAGGCTGGTTGTGATGAGTGGGCATCTGGCGCAGCAGCTTCACTGCCTCTTGGGACATATGCATCCCCGATCAGAGCGCCCATCTGAGTCCCAGCTGCCCCACCTCCAGTCCTGCTTCCTGCCAACGTGCACCAGGAGGCAAAAGAAAGAGACTCCAGTGTTCCAGCCTCTGCCACCCACATGGTGGACCAGATGGAATTTTGGGTTCCTGGAGTTCCCCTGGCTCCAGCCCAGCCCTGGCTATTGTGGACATTTAGAGAATGAAACAGACCGAAACAGAAACTCTACGTGTGTGTGTTTACTTTTCAAACACGAAAATAAATAGACATTAAGACAAAATGAAAAAAAAAATGAGACTATGCAGGGGAAGTAGTTATATAAAGAAACAAGTAGTATGTGTCAGAAACAGGAAAAAACACCCATGCATTTTGTTTAAATCAATTACATTCCAAAGAATTTATTTGTATGCTTTTTTTTTTTTACATGTTAGAGGACATTATCTTGTCCAATTAGTACAGGTGTTTTTGAAAGCCTAACTGTAAGTTTGCCTCTATCCCAGGGGATCTGGCTATGTCTCCAGTGAGTAGGGCTGAGCTCCGAAGGGCAATCTCTCATGTTTTAAGGCCATAAATACCCATTTCTCCCTTTCAGGGCCAAATCATCGACTTCCGGGGGCTTCTCTCTGATGCCATCAAAGGAGCCACCAGTGAACTTGGCTTGAACACCTCTGACTGCAACCCAGACCCTTCTGTGAGTGGCCACGAGGTGGCATTCATCATTACACCTGCCAACATACAGAAATACAAGTGCAACCTTGAGCTATTTTTATTTATTTATTTTTATGAAGCAGTGCTATAACGAGAGCCTTTCCGTTACTCTCATCAGGAACGACTGCTGAAGCCACTCAGTGCCTTTATTGGCATGAACAGCGAGATGCGAGAACTGGCAGCCGTGGTGAGCCGGGTAAGATCCGCTATTCAATTCACAAATTTACGAAGGCGAGACTGGGGCTCCCGGAGCAATGTGGGCTGCTTCTTTTATTAATAACAATAAATATGATCATTTATTTATAAAGTGCCCCCACTCGCAAAGGCACTCATATTGTTTAGAGGCACAATAATGCATGATAAATAAATTATAGAATCATAAAAATTACAATATAAAAAGCTCACCATCTCACCACAGGGGCCAAGAAAACCAAAGTAGAAAAAAGACTTGGAAAGGAGGGGATGGGAACAGGTGAAAGGTTTTATAGCAGAGGCAAGAGGCCAGGAAAGAAAACCTCTTAGAGACGGAACCAACAGGCCTGTTGTTTAAAAAGCCAAAACCTATGACTGAAACCAGGAGTCTGATGATCTCACATGTGAAAAATAAGATTACAGGTACAATCTTAGCACCCGGACTGCTGGCACCCCAGAACCAGAAAGAAATGATATACCTTGATCCAAGTGTAGGAATCAGTTGATTTGCATTTCACGTCAGATCCCTCTGTGTCTAGCTGGGTGACTGTGGGTAAGCTCCCTGAGCAAATAGTTGATTCCTGAGTTACAGAGTGCTTTTCTGATTCCTATGACCTCATGTTTGCTCCAGGTCTGAAACCTTAACGCAGGCTCAGAGAAATGTTTAAAGGGGTTCCTCCCCTCTCCGCACATAATGCACAGTTACCCCAATTAGCTAAGGCTGCCTCAGCTGCTCTCTGTTTCATCCTATGGTTTCCCACACACCTGCTATGTCAGGTCAGGTGCATAGTGGAAGCTGAACACGTGAACGAACACTAATGGGACGTAGTCCCTGCCTCTGGCTTTCTTGTCTCACGACTTGAGTGCATTTTGCAAGTGTGGAGGAGGAAGGTGTCATGCAGGGAAAGGAAGAGTGTGAGGCCTCTGGGCAGAGGCCATCTACATGAGAAGGAAGTCCTTGTGCATGTTTCTGCTGATTCCTGCAAGAAGCTCAACAGAGCTGTGGGAGAGAGGGTGGGGGATAGGGCTTCTGAAGAAGGGCACTGGCAGCAGAACCCAGGGCTGAGAAGAGCCTGCAGGGGATGGGGAACCTGGGAAAGGCCTCCTTGGGGGGATGAGCTTATCAAACCTGCCATGGACAGCATGTTCCAAGAAAATCTATCTTGTTCTTGCCTTTTCCCCCCTCAAAGGATAATATGACTAGTGAGGACAGAATTATAGAGGGAAGTGGTCTGAGATGATTGCATGTGGAATCCTTTCCATAGTATCTTGGGAGGTGGTCATTCAGCCCCCTGCTTGAATGTCTACCACATCAGGGAACTCACCACCACATGAGACAGACCTCTTTGATAATTGGGTTGTTACAAGGCATAATGGGGCTCCTCCCACCTTAGAGATGCAAACTACATACCTAATACTGGCCATTGTGGGTATTTGGGAAGTAAACCCATGGATAGAAGCTCTCTTGCACCCTTCCTCTTAAATAAACAAATACATACATACATATATACATACAGGAATGTGGATAGGTGATGGGCCTGCATTGGATCTAGGCTCTAAAGATACAATAGATTCTCCCAGGATTTCTATAAGACTTAGTTCTTTCTCTATCATCCCATTCCACTCCTATAAATATTTTTTTCCTAATCAAATTAGAACTGTCAGGGAGGGGATTGGGTGGATTTTTAAAAACTAATGTTTTTTAGAAACTAGTGAGTGTTTTTTAAAAATATATTTTGATATTTTTGAATCATGTGCATTTGCTGCTTATTTAAAAATTAAATAATACAAGAATAGTTTTCACTTTGTTCTGTAGTCATTCTAAATGACTTTGCAAGAGAGATCTTTTTTTTTTTCTTTATTTGGGGGGTGGGAGGAGAATGTAACACTCCAGGTATTATTTGCTCGAAATAGTTCCTGCAGAGAAAGGCCCCTGAGTGACTGTTCTGGGGCATCTGGTGAAATTGAAGTTTGGAAACTGTAAATTAGTTATCAGTAAAAGCTACCTTAATTGATTACCCCAGATGGTTGCTACAGGGCTCTACTGTATGAGGCGAAAAGCTCTACTTCTGCTTGGTTGTCACCTCCCTTGAATTCTGTTGAAGCAATTGCTCCTGCTGGAAGTGGGGAATGATCACTAGGGAGAAAGAAAATTGGTTTCAGAGGAGTGCCATCTCTTGTATGAAACAAATTAAGCAAGTGTTTGCAAGATCAAGGAGCAAGAGAGAGGTCAGGCACCTGCTAGTTTTACAGTAAAAACTAATGTAATTTGAACGCATATTCTGTTGCCTCTGTGATCATGGCCATAAATCAGCATGGTGTGCTATTGACCAAAGACAGGTAGAGTCTACTGTTGGAGTCCCCTCTCCCCCACTCTAAAAGCACTATATCGTGCCATCAATATAGGAAAAATTATTGAATATTTTCATGCCATTGCTTTAGTGAATTAATCCTGAATTATGTACACACACATATCTAATATGTGTAATTTTATCACTAACTTTATATTCTATTGTAAGTCAAATATTTTTCACTCTTTTGTTTGTTTGCTATTACAGCTATAGAGGGAAACATTAGTTTTAACAAAATGATCAAATGTGCATTGCAGGACATTTATCTCCATAATCCAAACATAAAGTGGAATGACATTATTGGACTCGATGCAGCGAAGCAGTTAGTCAAAGAAGCTGTTGTATATCCTATTCGGGTAAGGATGGGAAGCCCCCTTGGGAGGTATTTCTGTTCATTATCCATTGGAAAAGCTGTATGTCAAGCACCTAGCAGGAAGGGAAGGGCAGGATGAGCTTCTGTCCATAAATGAACCTGTTGCCCATGTCACAACACACTGAACACTGAAGCATCAAGCCTAGTCAATTTAGAATCAGGCTACATATTGGCCCAAGGTGGGTACTTGCTCTAAGTGATCATTTAAGACCCAAAGGTCTGTTGTATATATGAATTGTCAGCTACTGTAGTTGCCTCAAATTAGGTTACCTCCTTAAAACATACTTATTGCAGTGCATATACCTCCCCTAGGATAGGGCCATTTTGCTTTATTTCATAGAGCCTTCCCTCATTCTCGCCCCGAGTATCATCTGAAGCTTTTTTGTTGGATGAATGTGAAGATTAGACAGTTCTTTCTAGGGAGGGGACAAGGCCAGCCAGCATGTTGCTCTTATTCTTGTATTATTTAATTTTTAAATAAACATGTTGATCATCACTTGCTCTTGAGAAGTTTCTGTTGTGATTCATCAGATGGACAGAACAATAGAAAGCCAATATGATCCATGTTTGGCTTATAAATGTGATAATAAGAAGGTTGGTGTTTCAGTTAGCTTTTTCCATGTAACACACCATCCTAAAACTTAGTGACTTGAAAACAACATCATTGGCTTTGTAATTTTGTGGGTAGGTAAATTGAGATAGACTTAACTGGGCCTCCTCTCTTTTCCAAACAGTATTACCAGCTAGATTCATACAAATATGGGGCATCAGCCAGAGAGGCTGGAAAAGTTAAAATCTACAGGGCAGCTGAGATCTTTCTCCAAATGTCCTTGATTTTTTAGCAGAAAAGTCCCATGTGTTTACAGAGGTTCTCCAGAAAGAGAAGAAAGGGCAAGTCCTGGCTAATGAGCATTTTGTATGTACCTTCTTATATTTCTTATATGTGCTAGGCTTATATTTTCAGTTTGCTTCTTATATATTTGCTAGCATTGGCTGAAGTTGCAAAGCTAGGCCCAGATTCAAGTGGGACCAGAGATTGCACTTAAAGGAAGGAGCCACAACCTGTGGCCATCTTACATAATCTCCTGCAGACAGGATTACAAGTTTATTTTACTGTATCATCTACTTATTTTTACTGATGAACCTTTGCAACACCTGACTTGGGGATGCTTTTGTTCTAAGGAGGCAAAATTGCTGAATTTGAGTTTTCGTCCCCCTCCCTTTTATTTTTCTTGTGCTTAGACATGGGGATAAGAAATATGCTGTTGTTTAGAATTAATAGGCATGTAATGACTCTCCTTCTAAGTGGAACTGTTACAGCAGCAACCTTTCAGAATGGCTGGAACAACTCTGGTTTTGCTGTCTCTGTAGCATTACAAACCGTGTGTGATGGTATCAGGACTTAACATCAGCAAAATCCATACTTGTTAGCTGTAATTTCATTATGAATTATCTTTCCTCTCTGTTTTCCTTCAACCCTTCTCACCCTCTAGGTTGTTTGAATTTTGATTACCTGGAGAGACTCACATACTCTGTTTGGTGTCAGTATCCCACAGTGCACCAGCCCTCAGCAGTAAGGTCTGTGCCAGGTCAAAGTCAGGAGTCCAGGACTCAATCAGCCCAGGCACTCAGATATCAAATACAGATGTTCCAAATGGTGACTCGATCACTACCAAACATCTGCCCTGCTAGTATTCATCTGAAAGCTCACACCTGCTTCACATCATGTGAAAGGTTGCCTAATGATCTGTATATAGAACTGAGGGAAATGATGCAGTCAGAAATAGCCATTGTTAATGGACAAAAAAAAAAAAAAAAAGAAAAGAAAAAGCTCACACTTTTCTTTTACTTAAGAAAATCTTTTTTTTTATTAATTCACAAAAATTGTCAGACATTTTTCCCAAGTGTGAAAATAAGATTGGGATCAGTGAGATATGCACCCAAGCGACCTTGAGACTCAGCGCTGTGCCATGTTCACTGGTCATTACTCGTTTGGGGGAAGGGAGGTGTGCAGCTGACATACTGACCACCTGTTCCCTTCCTTGTTCTCACAGTATCCGCAGCTGTTCACAGGGATTCTTTCCCCCTGGAAAGGACTACTGCTTTACGGCCCTCCAGGTACAAATGCATTCTGTTTGGGCCTTGATATCGGGTGTATGTGTGTTCCTCCTCTGTCACCACTTCAGACCTGGGACAAATGAGAGCTGAGGAGCCCCTTATGTCCCCGCTGTGACTTCCGACTTCCGGCTGGGAGCAGAAGAGTGGGATCTTTGTTCCCGCTCCTGTTTTATTCGTGTGTATCCCCAGGTACAGGGAAGACTTTGCTGGCCAAAGCAGTCGCCACTGAGTGCAAAACCACCTTCTTTAACATTTCTGCATCCACTATCGTCAGCAAGTGGAGAGGGGATTCAGAAAAACTCGTTCGGGTAGGAATTCTTCATTTCAGGATTTTGTTTTTAAAGTTCTAGCAAAGGATGGTGCAACAAAAGGACAGTAGGGTTTATTTGTTTTTAAGTAACATGTATTCACTTTTATTCTGGATCTCGATTTCTGAAAGCCGGCAAACAAACTGACTATAACTTGTCCATCATATCCCCATCAGCAAGATGCACCCCCCTCTTCCTTTGGGAACCACATCAACAGCCCAGTTTTGGTTCGTACAACTCTGGAAAGGATCCTGGGAAGGTCTGAAGTTTTTGTCATCCAAGAAGTGTGCATTAGTCAGCACCTGTTGTATATTCGGTTAATGTTTAATGAAAGGCTATTACTTTTTGCTACTCCCTGTACCAAATTCTCTAAGGAAGAGTCAAGCAACTTAAAACTTCATTATTCTTGCTGATGTTTTGAGCAACTTTTCCTCCATCATGCTTTGCTTTCCTTAAAGGATTGCTTCTAATTTCACAATAACATCTTCATAGTCTTTATGAATAATGTTAATACAAAATACTGCATATTTCCTGAAAATAAGTTACTCTGAAATATTATCCTGAAATTATACTTTTTGGATGACTCATTTCTTAATTATTGTATCCCATTTGGAAATCATATTAGAATATTTTTTAAAAAGGATTCTCTTAATCTGTTTATTATTTTGATATTATTCTCAGGTCATTTCGGGTATAATTTTTTTAAAATAAATTCTTATCACCTCTTCCAGTTTCTACCTTGTGGGAACATTAGTCGATATCTTCTGGGGTTTTTTTTGGTTCTTTGTCTTCCTTACTTAGTACAAGGTCTAGGATTGAATTGAGCTGCTCTTACATTTGTGATCTCCATTTGATTTTAGTCTGCTGGATTTCAATGAACTGAACATTGGCCAACAAGAATCCTTTCAAAAGCCTGAGGCCATTGTTTTAATATATTGCATCTCTGTGTGATGGATAAAGACAAAACCCTTACAGGGTGCCTCCTAGAACTGGTTTAGATTAGATTCATCTCCTGTCTTGAGAAGTGTCAAGATCCATGGTCAGAAATCCTGCACAGGTGCCCAAAGATTACACTGTTCTCCTGAACAGAATACCTGGGCAGGAAGAGTAAGTTCAGATATTTTATGAATATTCTGAGCAAAGGTGAAAGGGCTTTTCTTGTCTTAATGTTGAGTAGAAAAACATCAATTAGCAGAATCTCTGTTCTATTAAACATATTTAAAAATTTCCTATGCCGCATTATTACTTTGTTAGAATTGCATGTGAGGGAATGATTTCTCCCTCAATCTCTTCCCTTCCTTTACCATACATTTAAAAGAAGCAAGCTTTCTTGGAAAAAACAAGAACAAAAGTTCCAAAGGCCATTGAGGTCTCCTCATCTTAGAAGCGATGACTATTAACAGCTGGTGGTCCTTCCTTTCTTTTTAAAGATTTATTTATCTGAAGGAAAGGATGAGAGAGAGAGAAAGAATGAACCATTCACCCACTGACTTCGTTCCAGATGGCTACAAAGGCCAGGGCTGAGCCAGGCTGAAGCCCAGAGCCACGATCTCCCACATGGGTCCCAGAGAGCTAAATACACGGGCCATTTTCCCCTGCTTTTCAGGTCACTAGGGAGCTGTGTGAGGAGTGGAGCAGCTGGGATACAAACTGGCACCCATATGGTGCCAATGTTGTTACAGATGGCAGCTTTACCCTCTGTGCCATAATACCAGTCGCATTTTTCTAGAACATTTGTCTGTATCTACACTAACATCAAGGATACCAGTCTCTTTTTAAGTAGGAATAACATCATACTATGCATCTCCTTCTACTGTGTTTTTCCCTCGTTTAACACTCTAAGATGCTGTTCCACAATATTCTAGACAGACAGGACATATTCTTTAACGTATCTGCATGATACTGAATTGTGGATATACCAAAATGTTTTTGCCCAGTCCTTTTCTTAGTGGGCATTCAGGTTGTTTCTAGTCTTTTGCTGTATTGAACAGATTAGATTGGACAGTCTTTGTCCACACGTATTTGCCTGTATAGTAACACAGCATAGTTTCCTGAGAAGTAGAATCGCTGTGCCACGAGGTGTGAACAGCACTGATTGCCAAGGCAGCCAGCCACAGGGGGTCCTAGCTTGGTCAGCTGTTATTTGTCAGCATGTTTGCTTTGCCACACTCTGGCTCATTGAGGAGTAACCAAACTTTAAAAAAGAGTCTTTGCCAATCTGCTAGTGAAAAAGCAATATTTCTGTGACTTCTTGTACAATTCTCTGATTTGCAATGAACTTGAGCATATTTTTAGGTATTTAGGAGATATTTGTGTTTCTTCTTTTCCTGTGAAATGCATTTTTAGAAATAGATGTTTAGAAAACAAACCCAAGGAAGGCACATAGCCTCTGCTAACTTTGTAGGCGCTCACCCCACTTTCTTGCAGAAGTGATTTCTTCCTTATTTTCTGGCTTCTTGCAATACTTGGAAAAATCCTACTCATGATGTCAAATTCCTTCTGGTGGAAGCTTCCAGAGAAGGAGCCCTTCAGGATATTCCACTAAGTGAGAGGAGCTTTCCCACCATTTATTTCTCTTTCTCTTCCAATTAGAGAGTTATTTATAGAGAACCTTTGGGTTATGTTCCTCGTTTCTCTCCTAAGGTCTCTTAGGAGTTGCTCGCTATTGAATCATTGAGTGGTCTTTTTAGCAAATGCATACACCTGTTGGTGCTTACATTTCTCCACACTCACCCCACCCCCAACTACATGATTTAACTTCATTCCCGTATCTCTGAAAAGTTTAGAATAGTGCTTCCAGAAGCACTTACCCAGGATTCTATTTATTGTCTTGGAGTCGAGAGAGTAGTGGCTTGGGAGATCTAGCTTCTGGATTTGCTTCCCCTTCCAGTAGAAGTTCTGGGTCTCCTTGCACCCAAGTGAGCTCCTAAGAAAATGTGTGTGCTCTAATAGAGAGCTCTAATATACTATTTTTCATCTGGTAAATTGCTGCTTTTGCAATCACCCTTAATGTGACAGAGTTGGGCCTTCCTTTTTGCGATAAGGTAGAAATGTTAACTTGCTTCTAGTTAGTTGATGTCTATTGAAGTTAAAAGGCATTTGTGGAGCCAGGCTGGTTCCATACCTGTGGTGTCAGTGTTGCAATCTAGGTTTTTGACTAAGTACTTCTTTTTTAGGTTTTTGCCTCTTACATTTTAAGCACTGGCATTGACATGGCTTAAGCAAGTGGTGAAGTTTATTCCAAGAATGAGAAGTACTGACTTACATGAGCTATATTCAGGGAGAGTAGGCCAGAAAGGGAAAGGAGAAAGGAGCAAGATTGCTATCTCTGGGGCCCGGCATTTTGGCCGAAAGGCTAAAGTCCTCACCTTGAACGGGCCAGAATCCCATATGGCGCTGGTTCTAATCCCGGCGGCTCCACTTCCCATCCAGTTCCCTGCTTGTGGTGTGGGAAAGCAGTCTAGAGTGACCCAAAGCCTTTTGACCCTGCACCCATGTGGGAGACCTGGAAAAGCTCCTGGCTTCGGACTGGCTCAGCTCCAGCCATTGCAGTCACTTGGGGAATGCATCATCGGACGGAAGATCTTCCTTTCTGTCTCTCCTCCTGTCTGTATATCTGACTTGCAATAAAAAGAAATAAATCTCAAAAAAAAGAAAAAAAGACTGCTACCTCTGTCCTCAGAGTAAGTCTGGGGTAACGTGCAAGCAAGCAGGTGAGAGGCAAGTGACCAAGAGTGCCCAGCGGCTCTCCAACATGGGCTTTTATAAAGACTTAAGAGGGGAGTGACTATGCAGCAATGCAGAAATGCCCCCCTCTCAAGTTCCGGATGGTTATAGGCAAATGTCATTTGACTCACAGGTGGGCAGAAGGGATTACATAGGCTGGGAAGGTGTGGCTTCCAAGACCATGACCCTGAACTAGCTGTCTGCCTGGACCATAACACCGGAACCTCATATTGTGGCCACTGGTTTGAGTCCAGGTTGCTCCACTTCTGATCCAACTCCCTGCTTGTGGCCTGGGAAAGCAGTGGAGTGTGGCCTAGGACCTTGGACCCCTGCACTCACTTAAGACATCTGTGCCTCCATGTGGAAGGCCTGGAGGAAGCTCTTGGCTTGCAGCTTCAGACTGGCCAAGTTCTGGTGGTGGCAGCCATGAAGAGAGTGAATCAGTGGATGGAGGATCTGTCTTTCCCCGTTTCTTTCTTATTCTGACTCTCTGAAGTAAAACAAAATATTTTTAAAAATATTGAGTGTCCTAACACCGCCATTGCTCTCTCAGCCCACTCGACATCCTTTTGCTTCAATGAAATGAGATTCTTCTAAAATAAAGTGGGAAAGATGGGCAATTTCCCTCTTAGTGTCAGGGAAACCTGCAAGGGATAACCAGCATGCCTGTGAAAACCACAGTCTGGCTTTTTTCTGAGCCTTCCCCTCTTATTTGTTTTGTGATGCTTTGCTAGTGCTGAACAACATGGAGAATAAATCCCCCATGCCTATTAAAAAACCTCAATTCTTTTTAAAATCTCCACCACTCTCTCTGATCAACTGGTGAAGAATTGTATATAGTACTCAAGAGATCAGTTTCAAGGTTAAAAAAAAAAAGGTTTAGCTTTTTATATTTGTTTCATCACCACCACATTTCCCTTTGGGGCTCTTTATTTTGTTTTTATATGTCTGTTCTTTTGCTGGTTGCTTTCCTGTTCTTGCTCCATCTATAATATTTTCTTCTGGAATAGAACATCTTTTTCAATCAAGAATTGCCTTCAAGTACCTGAGCCAACTGCTCAGCAATGTTGAGGTGCTATGGGGAATCCAGGAAGTGATTTGGGGAGCAGAAAACTGGCAAACCTCTTCAGTCTTTCACCCTGTGTTTGCAACCTATCCCTCCTTGTAGCTCTTCCTCCTTGAGAATAACCCTCCAATTGTCACCCCCCCCACCGAATTAAGGGAGAAATCATGAAGGAACATAACATGTTCTCAGGCTCTTGTGACCATTTGGAACCTGTTCAAGGCATAGTATCCCAGGAGTCAGGTTTGGGAACTGAGTTTTACCTTAAGCGTGCCCACTTATGATTAGCAGCCTTGAACTAAGCACCTGCTCTGAGTATGACTTTTATCAAGTGATAAATGGAAGTAATTGGACCATCCAGCCTCATGGGGGTGGCAGTAGGGAGAAATAATGGTGATGATTATAAAGTTATTGTAGAATAACAGAATGTAGTATAAATGCTGATTATTGTGATCATTCTAGCCTTTAGTCTCTGAGCACATCTGAGGACTTGGAGTATGTGAATGTGAATTTAAACATGCCCTTGCTTTTCCCTCACCCAGGTGTTGTTTGAACTTGCCCGCTATCACGCTCCCTCCACCATCTTCCTCGACGAGCTGGAGTCAGTGATGAGCCAGAGAGGCATGGCTCCTGGGTAACAGCACTGGGTGGGAGGGGGCTTTTTGTTGTTGTTGTTGTCACCTCTCCCCACTTGTGTGTTTGCCGGTCGGAAGCTCATCCACGTTTACCAGCAGAAGGCGCCAATGCGTAAGCCCACAGATTTCTGCAGGCACATTAGATCCTATCATCTGGAGAGCTGATTGAAGTCCTTTTTACAGCCAGAGGAAGTGTCCTCCTTCCCCCACCCCACCTCCTTCTGCACAGAGTGGTTTTCAGGCCTGAACAACCACCCCACCCCACCCTCGCAGCCCCAGGATGCCATCCCTCTCCTGCTGCTACATAACAGCAGAGACCACCTCCTCAGAAGCCAGAGTAGCTGCCCTGGGGATGGAGCAATGCTAGGCCAGGGAAGCCACCACGTCTGGGTGACATCAGATTGTGGCTCAGCACGTGTCACGCATTGTATCTCAATGGTTCGATTGGCTAATCCTCCCTCTGCATGCACTAGCATCCATATGAGTGCCAATTCAAGTCCCAGATGCCCCACTTCCCATTCAGCTCCCTTCTTGTGGCCTGGGAAAGCAGTACAAAATGACCCAAAGGCTTGGGACCCTGAGATCAAGAAGACGCTCCTGGCTCCTGGCTTCAGATCAGCTCGGCTCAGGCTGTTGCAGTTATTTGGGAAGTGAACCTGTGGATGGAAGGTCTATCTCTTCTTCATTCTATGACTCTACCTTTAATAAAATAAAAAGTTTAAAAAGAAAAAAAAAAGATTGAGTCTCCAATGATGTTTTTAGCAGGCAGGGATACTTCTCAAGCCTGTCATGTGTAAGACCCGGCACCATGGCCTGGCGGCTAAAGTCCTCACCTTGAATATTCCAGGATCCCATACGGGTGCCAGTTCTAATCCTGGCAGCTCCACTTCCTGTCCAGCTCACTGCTTGTGGCCCAAAGCCTTGGGACCCTGCACCCATGTGGGAGACTGGGTTCCTGGCTTCAGATCAGCGCAGCACTGGCCGTTGTGCTCACTTGGGGAGTGAATCATCAGATGGAAGATATTTCTCTCTGTCTCTCCTCCTGTCTATATATATATCTGACTTTGCAATAAAAATAATTAAAAAAAAAAGACTGTAATGTATAATGAGCCTTCTGTTTATGCTTGGAAAAGCCAGAAAGGCCTAGGTTGATTTTCTGTTTGTTTGAGAGGCAGAGTTACTGAGAGAGGGAGAGACAGGGGCATCTTCCATTCACTGGTTCATTCCCCCAAATGGCTGAAGCAGCCAGGGCTGGGCCAGGCTGTGGCCAAGAGCTTGTTCTAAGTCTCCTGTGTGGGTATAGGGCCCAGACACCTGAGCCGTCCTCCACTGTCTTCCCAAGAACATTAGCAGACAGCTGGATCAGAACAGTAGCAGCTAGGATGCAACTGGCACCCCAAGGCCTGCTGTGCCACAGTGCTGGCCTTGGTTGTGTTGTTTTTAAATTTTTTAAGAGAGAGACTTATTTATTTTTATCGAAAAAGCAGATTTACAGAGAAAAGAAGAGACAGAAAGAGCTTCCATGTGCTGGTTCACTCCTCCAGTAGCTGTAATGGCCATAGCTGAGCCCATCCAAAGCCTGGAGTCAGGAGCTTATCCCAGGTCTTCCCTGCAGGTGCAAGGTTCCTGGACCATTCTCCACTGCTTTCCCAGACCACAAGAAGAAAGCTGAATGGGAAGTGGAGCAGCCAGGACACAAAGTGGTACCAATGTGGGATCCCAGCGCTTGCAAGAGGAAGATTAGCCAATTGAGTCATTGTACCAGGAGCCCTTTTAATTGGTTTTTAAGAACATATTTTTGTGTGGATCAGAGCTTTTTGATGTCTGCCACTAAAGTAGACACTGCTGACTTGAAAAAGCAGATCACAGGAAATCTCTGCACAGCTGCATTTATTAATGACCCTCAATGGTCCATCATCAAGTCCAAGTAATAGTACTTTTTAAAAAGCAAATAATTAGCTTGCTGGATGTGCAGCATCCCTAGAAAGTCACTGTGTAATTTTACTCATTAGAAACCTTTCAGGGAAGGACCAGTGTGGAAATGAGTCACAGGGCTTTTGTGCAGGAGCTTGCAGCAGGACACACACTATGATCTTCCTGGCCACGTTTCCCACCCATAGGCTGGATCCTCTGCCAGTGGATGATTGCACAGGCCCCGTCTGCCCAGCCCACCTGTGGCAGCTATGCCCTTTGCAAAGACAGGCTTCCTGGCCTGCCTCGCCCTAGGACCTGTGCACCAGCTCTCATGTGTGCTTTGCTCATCTCCATCCCCAGGCTTTCCCACAGTCTCGATTATGTCAGCTTGGAAACTTTTTATCTGTTTTCCTTGAGCATGCTCGAGGTTTTGCTCTGAATATCAGTGTTCTTGTCTGGAGCTTGAAGATCCTATAAGGGTCAGGGGATGAGAGCAGGTGCACTGAAATCTTCCTGGACAAATTGGGTCATGGGCTGATGGTGAACAGGTATGGAATCATGCTGAGATGGGCTTCTCTGTTAGTGAGTGCAAGCCACAGACTCCAACTCAGTTTCTCCTCTACTCTGATGACCCAACTTTCCCTGCCCTCAGCCTTATAGTCAAAAGGAACAGGTGAAAAGGGGCAGTAGAAGGTCAGAGAGAGAAATTGCTTCCTGGTGAGTTTGCAGAGGAAGGATATCACAGAGAGCTGCTTCTCATCTGCTGTGCAAAGAACACATAGCTTCCCTGCCATTACCCTGCCCCCTGTTACAGTGAAATAGATTCATTTCTCTTACACAATTTAGGTCTCCCTATTATTTTAAACAAAATACTGTGTGTGTGAGTACTGTCACATAAGCTATAGAAACAAAAGTTATTCTCCATGCTGCCATTTCTTTAAAGGGTTAAGTAACATTTCAGGTAGACCCAGCTAGGATGCTACTGTTTACCCTTCACTTATTTTCTTCATCACTGCTAACTTTAGGTTTTCTCTTAAGTACCATCATTATAGCCTCTTCCTTCCTTTTGATATGGGGGAATGACACGAAGTCCCTTATTTGCTCTAACTCTAGTGTGAGTGGCTCCAGTGGCTATCATAACAGACTGCTGTGCGGTCACCAGGGCATGGCCTTGAGTGCCACTGTTTTCATGAGGGCGATGACTCTGCCACTTGGCAGAAGAACACCTCCTTGTCTCTCTGTAGGGGGGAACATGAAGGAAGCCTGCGGATGAAGACAGAGTTGCTGGTTCAGATGGACGGGCTGGCACGTTCAGAAGACCTCGTGTTTGTCTTAGCAGCTTCTAATCTGCCCTGGTAAGAGATCCAAAGAAGATGTTTTGAATTTGTTCTTGTGAGCCTCCAAGTAGAGATGCAGATTTCACATGAACCACTTGCAGTAAAGCCTGGTCGTGCTCCACCAAGCCCTGCAGGACAAATTTGAGAGGTTTACTCTTTAGGTTTCCAATTCTTGCTCTTTGTACCATGAAAAACCCTGCTAGAAAAAAGAAAGTACAGACCAGGATTCCCACTGATAGCATGCAAAGTGAATATTTTGAATTTAAAGCCAAGTTTTGTACAGGTGGTTCTCTGCAGCTGTTGGTTCTGCACCTGCAGATTCAAACAACCTTGGATCAAAAACATCGAGAAAAAAAAAGTTGTATTCATATGGTACAGGTACTGACTGCTTTTCTCATCATCTGTTCCTAAAAAATACAACTCCTTAAGCAGTATTTACATGGTATTAGGTATATACGTTAGAGAGGTGATTTAAAGTATGTGGGAGGATATGTTTATGTAAATTGCAAATATTAACCATTTCATGTGAAGGAGTTGAGCATCCTCAATTTTTGAGATTTTCAGGAGTCAGGGAACCAATTGCCTGAGGAGACAGAGGAACGCATGTCATGTTTGAATTAAGTAGTACTTCAGTATTTGCTTAAAAATATCCAGAATTCAAAGAATATTCCAGAAATAACACATTAACATTTGTCAGTGTTAAAATTAAACTTTTTGTAGGTTAGGAGGACATTTTTTTTAATAGGAGAAGGTTAAATTTTTTTTTTTCCACATTCTTTCTCTTTTTTTCTGTATCTGGGGTAACAGGGGAGATAAAGGGAGAAGCCCCACCCAGCCTCCCGCCCATCCCAGGTCCCAGACATGGGGCATGCACCAAGGGCAATGCCCAAGTTCAACTGATATTTGAACTGATAGTTCAACAGTTCTGAATTGCTGCCCATGTCACTATTCCAAGCATGGTGAAATCGCTGCAGAATTCACTGGTTAACATAATCCATCTTAGAGTTTCCGTTTGCCCAAATTTTCACTGCCAACATGTGCCTGGGTAGTTGATTAATTTGTTCTGTTGTCTGTTGTGGTACCAGGTGTCCTCTGCAGGCTCCAGTGTACTGCCATATCAGAAGTCTTTTTAAAGCATCGAACAGCAAATATAGAGCTAAATAAACTCTAATTGAAAATATAATCTACGCTCAGAATCTTGCACTCAAACAGTTCCAGAGCGGTTTAAGGACAATTCTGGAAGTGAATTGGGAAATAAGAGATACTGACTGAGGAAAAGCAGTATCTGCTTACAGAAGTATGCCTTATGAAGTAGTTATAATCCAACTGTAGTTTTATTAAGATTATTTTTATTGGTAGGGAGATTTTACAGAGAGAAGAGACAGAAAGAAAGATCTTCTGTCTGCTGGTTCACTCCTCAGATGGCCTCAATAGCCGGTCTGAGCCAATACAGAGCCAGGAGCCAAGAGCTTCTTCCAGGTCTCCCATTGGATTCAGGGACCAAAGGACTTGGTCCATGCTCCTCTGCTTCCCAGGTCACAGTCAGGGAACAGGATGGGAAGTGGAGCAGCTGGGACTAGAACCAACATCCAAATGAGTTGCTAGTGACATAAGGTGGATGATTAGCCTGTTGAGCCACGGCACCAGCCCCAATCCTATCATAATTCTAAAAATATGTTCATGAATATTATTTTTTTCAAGCTGCAAGTGAGGCAGTATACAGCTAACAATAGAGTGCTCTTCCCGTTTTCAGAGATAGGCCAAGGTCAAGAGAGGTCAATCTACCTCTTTCTGTCATGGCCAGGATTGTGCCACATTTCTCCCCTTCCATTTCTTTTTCCACATCTGAATGTAAAAGCTCTTATAGCGCATGCTCATCATCCGGGACCCATAACCTTCATGTCTATCTGTCATTTTACATAGATTCATCACCTAGGAAGCCTGACTCCACTTGCCCTGGAATTTATAAGGCTTCGTTCTGTTGTGCTCAGGTGATCATCTTATATTTTTAAGATGCAAGTACTTGTGCTCAATCTCATAGTGGAGTCCAAAGAGGGAATTACTTAATTTGTTAAATAAATATGATAAGAAGCCATTGTTTTGGACTAAGCTCTTGCACTGCACCCCAACAGGCCAGGCTAAGAATCAAAACAGAATCACTCATGCTGAAGTTCCTTGTCACTCAACCAACATTGAGTTATTATTTGACCTCTCAATAAATCAAGAGACAGAGAGAGAACAGTGAAATTTCCCAAATAGGCCAGTCTTAATCAGCATTATAACAGAATTCATGAAGCTTTAGTCCTTACAAAGCAACAATAAATCCAGTAACGTAATATTAGTCAATTAGTTATTTTTCTTTTCTTTTAATTGCATTTAATTTTATAACAATGTTTCATAGGCTCTGATGTTCCCCCTTCCCCTCCTCTTGCCCTTCCCCCCATGGTGGATTGCTCCACCTTATTGCAGTATTACAGATCAAATCTAGTCTTGTTTCTTTCAGTGCAAGCATGTGCCTTACATAGAGTCCAGTATCTTGTTGCCCAGCTGAATTCAACAGTTTCTTGAAGAGACTAACCCTGGTCTGGAGACATAGCTGGCATCCATTGTTAATTAACCCCATAATGTTGGAAACTGTTGTTGATGTTATGTTATGGCATTTAATTCATCGAATCAGTTATTTTTCTATTGTTCTGTCTCCTGCTCCCTTTCTTACCGGGAAAGCCACTTTGAAAGGTTTGTCTGCTCTTTATTCTTTGTTTTTGCTTTCTTCAGACTTTGTGAAAACACCTCTTCTGCTGAACTCATTGGAGCACTTCTCGTATTTTATGGAATGAAGTGTTTGACTCCAGAATTGAAAATAAAGTCAGGGGGTCCAGCATAATGCCTTAATGACTAAATCCTTCCCTTGCAAGTGCCGAGATCCCATGTGCGTGCTGGTTTTTGTCTCAGCTGCTCCACTTCCCATCTAGCTCTTTTCTTGCGGCCTGGGAAAGTAGTAGAGGAAGGCCGACAGCCTTGGGATCCTGCACCCGTGTAGGAGACCCGGAAGAGGCTCCTGGTTCCTGGCTTCGGATTAGTTCACCCCCTGCCATTGCAGCCATTTGCAGAGTGAACCAGCAGGTAGATCTCCATCTCTTCTTCTCTCTGTAAATCTTATCCCTTTCCAATAAAAATAAATAGATCCTAACCACTAGACCACCAGGGAGGGACTAAGAAATTTTAATTGATCGGGTTGATACTCTGTCGGCTCTGCTTTCTGACCAGAGAGGGTCTCCCCAACAAGCTGTTGAACTTATCTGGACAATAAGATGCTGGACTCTATGCTTGGTATATGCTTGCAATATAAGAATCTCATGCAAACTTGAACTATGGTAATGCAACAAAGTGGAGGAACCCACCATGGGGGAAGGGCTTGGGGAGAGGAAGGGGGAATCCCAATACCTATAAAACTGTGTCACATAATGCAATGTAATTAATAATAATTTTTAAAAAGAGATTAAAACAGAAAAAATAGATCTTTTTTTTTAAAAAAAAAAGTAAGTCAGTTGGATCTTTTAATTACATGTGTTGTAGTTTTGTTTTTTGACAAAAATGTGGTTGTTGAATCATTTAGGGTTAGAGCCTCTTATCCTTCATCTATTGGTAATAGGATTGATTATAACCACTTTCCTTACACTTGAGGGTGCGGTGAGAGTCAGCTGGGATGGGTGTGAGGTGATAGAGCTTCAGGCTTTAGTCTGGGAAGATCCGTTCCTTGGAGAGACCACTGTATTTTCCAGAAGGCTAAATGGCTCTCCACTGCCCAAGAATACAGTGATTCTCCTTTACCTGCTACTTCCCTTGCCAGGCTTCAGTTACCTAAAGTCAACTGTGCCCTGAAAATACTCAATTAAAAAATTCCAGAAATGCACAATTCAGACATTTAAAATAATGTTTATTGTGGTATATTGTTATTATTCTTTTTTATGATTACTGTTGATCTCTTGCTTCACCATAGATATGTATCTATTGGAAAAAATATTTATGGAGTTTGACACGATCCACTGTTTCAGATATCCATGAAATATTTTGAAGTGTGTCTTCTGTGGATGTGGGCAGGGCTTATTGTGCCTAGGAATTTTTCAAGGAGGTTATGGTACCAGCTTACTTCATTTATCCTCCCAAAGAAACTGATGCCCAGAGGGGGAAAAAAAAAACCCTGAGAAACCCATTAAAAAAAACCCATTAAAAAAACCCATTAAAAACCCTGAGAAACCCATTTTAAAAAAAGTAAATGCTACATTTGGCACCTGGTATGCCACTGGTGGAGAGGGCAAGGGGCTACCCAGACCTATATTGATTGGGTGGAACCTGTGGAATGCCATGTCAGTGCAATGTTCTGAGCCAGAAACTAGTTCACTCCCAGCTTAGTGCATGTGCTGTTCCTTCCTATAGCCTTTACCTTTCTACATTAAACGGTGCCCAATGCAGCTCTGCTGGGGGTCTGGGCTGTGAAATCTACTCTGTTCTGCTGCTCTGTCTCTACTCCTAGTCAGATCAAATAAATCAGCAGGATTGGCAGCACAGTAACCTAGTGGCTAAGGTCCTTGCCTTGTATGTGCCTGGATCCCATATGGGGGTTGGTTCTAATCTCAGCAGCCCCTCTTCCCATCCAGCTCCCTGCTTATGGTGTGAGAAAGCAGTCAAGGATGGCTCAAAACCTTGGGACCCTGCACCCACTTGGGAGACTCAGAGGAGAACCGGGTTCCTGGTTTCAGATTGGCTCAACTCTGACCATGGCAGCCACTTGGGGAGTGAATCAATGGATGGAAGAGCTTCTGCTCTGTCTCTCCTTCTCTCTATATATCTGCTTCTCCAGTAAAAATGAATAAATCTTTCTTTAAAGAAAGAGTTTGAGTTCTAACATAGAAGTTGGCAAATTGCACAAATTACTCTGTATCTTGATTTTTTCCCCTTAGCTGAGATCTTTCCAAATAAGAACATGAAGTTCTTTTGTACTCCCCTTAGAGCTGTGG